TAACTTGAGAAGATCTCAATGACGTTAAAGCATATGTTTTCATTGTTGTTCTTTTGCTGTAGCTCAGAACTGTATTTGCTAGAGCGTATCTTTCTTTTTCTGTTCAAAGACAATTGAAAGTTTTTTAGTTTATGTGCCCTCTCAATGTTTGATAGCTTCAAAACTCGTACATTTATTCATCTACTAATATAAAAAAAGAACATTGTTTGTATATTTAACGGCAATGTCTTATGAATTGCCAACTCCATTTCAATATGTAACAATTACGTTGTAACTGCTACAGTACGTACCAATTCGAGACCTTGTGTAACAATTTAATATCTTTTACCCTCCCCAAACGGGTTTCATTTCGTATTCTTTTATTCAATATGATTCTCGAACACAATGTTATTAGAAAAAGCACAAAATTTTGCTTTGAAGCAATTGTTCACATCTAGAATTTTTCGTTATAACGCGAAAGATATATTATTTATACGAATGATCTGCACGTATACTCTAAGGCACGAATAGGTTAATATAAATACCTAATTAATTCTGTTGTTTAAAACCATCTGTTTTCTCGCGACCCGCGTAAATTATAGCCTATTTCATTGGTGTATGTAATAGCTTCCCGTAAATGAAAGATTTTTTAAAATCAGTACAGTTGTTTCGAAGTATATTGGTTGCAAATAAATAATTAAAAGTTTCCTCTTTATAATATAGTACCAATTGATATGTCTTTCTATCCTTTGGGTTGTAATATTATAAAATAGAGCATTATTAGTACGTTTGGTTTGCGATGCGGAAATTGAAGAACTTTCGTAAGGGCCGGTAATAGGACAAAAAAATTATTATTTTGCGTTCATCGGAAGGAACGTTGAGCTGTTGATTGAAAACTGGCCCCGTTTTCCTTATTTGACTGAATTATAAACATTTTTCAGGCTTAATCTCATATGTCATTTGGAAACTTGACCTGCCCTACCAACTGAAAACGTCGCAGTTATGGGTTAGAATCTGTGTATTATCCTTAAAATAAAATAACAATCAAATCATATGAATATAAAATTGAACAAATAACTAAATAATTTTATCTAAAACAGTGTAGCTTTGGTCTTTATTTGTGCTTTGGTTTATATACATTACACCAAACAAAAATCAAATGATATTTAGTCCATCATATATCTATTACCATTTTCATATATCTATTATATTACGAGTACATTAACGTTTTAATATGACTTAAAGTAAAAATTTTAGTAAGCATCATTATGCTTCATTAGGCACTAAATCTTTTACTGCTTCCTGGTACCAAGATAATATATTTTTAGACTAAGATAAGCGAATGTAGCTGCACTATATTCCTCTTTATGTAATGAAATTCAGCTTTATATAGTATAGATATAAAGCTCGGAGGTGCAACGTCATAAAACTGCAAACATTTCGAACCGACAAAGCGCCTCTCACGTGTTGAACTGGAAATAGATATCTTAGTAGGTATGTCACGTATTATATACTCTACCTACTCATATCATCGGATGATGCAAATACTCGCCATTCCAACTTATTATTTTATATCACAATAATATCAAGGTTTAATGTAGTTTTCCCCTAGCATAGTTTTAATTTAATCCCAAAAATATCTATTAAGTTGAAGTGTCATAAAAAATCCCGTTCATAAATTCATACAAATTTATAGGTAGGATGCTTTTCGGCCATTATTCTTTTTGTGACGTCAAATGTAGATGAGAGAATCTACATTACAATTAGTTATCTGCGCGAGTCGCGGACCGTTTTCATTTCTTCGTGTGTCAGGAAACTGAAAATATATGGTTTCGCGCTACGTAAAACTCTAAATGAAAATTTGATTAATGATAGAAAATATTAAAGTGTAAGTGGGCAATAAAAACTGATTTGATACTCTATTCAGAAAATATTATTCTAGGGATTTCATCGTGTCTTTTCTTATTAAAAAGGTAGCATATCTATAGCTTTAATGAATAAACTAATATTATTATTTAGTCGGATCACTTTAAGACTAACGGGAAGTTGCACAAAGGTCCTTAAAATTATCATTAACATTCAATAGAGCTTAAAAGCGTCATTAAATCTTAATGGACGTTTGTGCAACTAATGGTAAGCATGTATATGCATAAATCGCACTTGCGGCAATTAAGTCCGCGTTGTAATAAGGCACATCTTTGAAATTTCGTGTAATAAGGCACATCTTTGAAATTTCATGATAATACACTTCTATTCTAGCTCAAACTTTACTCACAATGCATCACAAGGATAGATACGCCGTGTTATTTCAAAGGCGAGCCTTGGTTGCCGCAGGTACGTTATTTGATATAAATTGGGCTGATTTCATCTGTAGGTATTATGAGAAGTTGTGATAAATAGATCTAAACTGAACACAAGTGATGAACACTATGGGGCTATGAAGGGGATTATTTGTGCAGAATAGAACGTCTAATTGGTTCAAAATGGGTTTAAAGACCAATAGGCAGGTAGGTACTAAATGTTAGATCGAAAAGAAAAATGTATTGTTTAAAAGTCCTAGAACTTTACAAACGCTGTCAGTTGTGTAACACGACTCGTGTTCGAGTTGGGCATGTTCATGTTAGTATTGCGAAATTTAAGCAAACATTTGACAACAAACATTCATCATTGTAATCTGCTGACAGTGCCAGTCTAGTCCATTAATATAGTAGGTAAGTATATAAGTCAGTTAACGAATTGAATTATATCACATAATAGAAATAATTTTCAACCCTGAAATTACACAGCCATTATGACTTTAATTTATTAAAATCTAAATCTATTTTGGTTCGTCATCATCATCATAGCCCTTTTACGAATGACTGCAAATGCAGCCGGGACCAACGGCTTAACGTGCCTTCCGAAGCACGGATTAGCTCGAGATAATAAATTTTTGGTCACCCATTCCGTGACCGACCTTTGCGAAAGTTGCTTGACGACAAAGATCGCGGGCTGCGGCGCTTATCCACTACGCCACCGAGCGAGCTATTTTGGTTAATCAAATACTGCAAAAGTATTCATTTAATAAAGTATAAAATCCATTAAATTAACTGGAATAACAAAATCGGTAGCCTTATTTTCTTTTCCAGACAACCGTTGCAACACATTGTTGGACCAAAAAAATATAAAAAGCAGGTCGGTCATTACATTTTATAAAATCAAAGCTACAAAGCATCCGTGTTCTAATTGGAAAAAAGCTTTCAACTCTCATTTACCCCGTAGCGAGCTTTTGAAAATGTAGCGTAACGTACCGTACGGTAGAGTTGCTTCGATAAATATAAATGAAGATTTCGTTCAACGGGCACAATGGACCGGGTTGATCGCAAAGTGGCTATTGATTGATTTATGATCAGTCGCAAAACGTTATTCAAATGATTATTCAAGTGATCGAACCCGGTCCACGTTAGGTTACGACGAAAAGGGGAATGGAAGGTCTTTAGTCCAATTTGCAAATGAATATCCGAATAATAGTTTAATCGGCTTATCTTTTTGTCGTTGTATTCGGTTCGTTGTACCCGCGAGCAATAAAAGCAAACGACGCTCAATCGATTACTGTCCATTTGTACAATTAAAATACTAATAGTAAAATACGTATCTTTACTATATATTATTTTATAAAGCTTAAGTACAACTGAGAATATAAACTTCTGTCGCAAATAATGACTTTATTCTCCGTAATGTCTTTGTAACTGTCTAGATAAGCAACCAATCAAAGTCATTACCTTACCTTCCCGAATTTCCATTGAATCAAATTAGTAGAAGTAGGTAGCTATGTAACGAAAATAATTAGTTTTCGAGATTCCGTCTGGCAATAAATGAACCGTGGGGGGCGCTCGCTTTCGTCAGATATTGACGTCCCCTGTCGATTCAATTATATACATTCAATGCTAATTTATCATTAAACTAGGTTTTTAGCCTCAATTTATCATATTTTTTGTTATATCTATTTAAGTATTAGTAAAAATTGAAACAATCGCATGTGCCTATAATGTTTACTTCGTTAAGACGTTTTAAAGTCGTGTTATAGAAAACTTTTCATATTAAACTTATCCATGCGAGCATAATTTTTTTAATCACCAACTACCAAGTTTTCTTAAAGTTCTTTCGAATATCAGAGGAGCTTATTTAAGCGCGGGAAGTGGAATAAAGAAAGGAGTTGGTTATATCTAGTTAGAACTTTACTTACCTATTCGCTCGTATTTTGTATGCGGCTTTCAGCGCATTTTGTTTACGGAGGCGGCCATTCAAATCGAAAATTATTGCATCGCATGTAAAGTATTTCAGTGTGCAGCGTATCCAACAATACGCTTCGAGGGTTATATATTTTTCAAGACGCTGGAGCTGGTTAGATTGTATTTTCCGAGCTGCACTGGAGTGCAGGTACACCGTCTAATATTGCGAGTAGTAGCCGGTATTCTCGTAAAGCCTCTAGCACACTGTCGCTAAAGCGAACCGGAACCGAAACACTAGAGAAACTCAGTATCAGCATCGCCGTCTACTACGATTGTGATTGGTGATTCACAAAAGCGAAATGATTTCATTTATTTGTACTTCCCACTGCGAAAGCTTTAATATTTTGTCGTTTGCTATAAAAATCTATATTTTATAGGTTTCTTTTCTATGTATTTAGCCCATTCATGTATTTCTCTTTTAGATAAATTATTTATTTTTCTTTCTAATAAACTCTTAGCGCTATTTGATAAAAAAAACTGGCATGAATTTGGTTCGGTCTGGTAAAATTTTCAGACAGTTTTACTATGCGAAACGGAAATCAAAACGAAGAGAAATCTGCATTTCATTGTCGCTTCGTTTTCATATATCTGTGTGCTACAGGCGTAAATGGCGACTCTGTGACCCCGTGCAACAATAGCGGACCCTAACTCCATTGTATAATTTACGCAACTTTCCAAAACACGTCACTTTGAGTAAGGATAGTTAAGGCAGGACCACTTATCATTAGCCACTAAATTACTAAACAACGTAGGTTTTAAATCATTTAATAAAATAAGTGATGTATTAATTTCTTATAAAGAACACATTTCAAGAGCAGTCGTTGGCTGTATTATAAAACATTATTTATTTATACATGTGCATCAGGTAGTAAACACAATAATAATTACATTTCTTATAGAAATCAACCCAGACAGGTAAGTCTGAACTCGAAATGGCACGAGTTAAATGTTTCTTTATTGCCGAAGTAAAACACAACCGTTCCTCAGGAACAACATCTGCTAGAAGCTCAACAGATACATCCTCAAACGAACTTCAATACATCAACATACAGTCTGTAACACAGATCGTCGTAAATACTTTTAAATAAGGCTTCTCTATACATAACACGCGGTTCACTAATGTTTGAAACATTCAAGATTAGTTAATAAAGCATTAAACCAAACTATTTAAATAAATCCAACATACGACTCGTTCACTACAATACATTTAACATTATATAAATTTCATCCAACGTATTACGTAAAATGTACCATTCTATTTCAAGATTAAAACCGATTTAAATGTTAAGTATTGACATACACATTTCCTTATCCTAATATATATTGTGAAAACTGTTAATTTGAACCAAACAATTTTCTGACAACATACGAAAATATATATAAAAGTTTTACTATCGATAAATTTAAACATATTGGCATATTATTTATTTATAGAAGGATAAGAAAATGTCTTAATATTAAAGATATCTCGTTTACAAATCATCTCTCTTACCAAGTTACCTCGCCGATAAATTCGTCCATATCAAAATATATACCCATTACATTTATGTTTGATTCATTGTGTCATTGATATCATTTATTTAAAATATATATAACGCCATATATTTAATATGTATATTTAAAATTCTTACGGCTAAACGGTAACTGCACTAAAATAATGAATCTTTTAAAGCATGGAGGAAATAATAACTCTCTTGTCCCTAAACATATAAGACTAGCTCTGTCAATTGTTCGTAAATTGAAAATTAAGGAAAACACATTAGTGCCGTTAGTAAACACGTTTCTTATGGCACAGACAGACATAGAAAATGTTAAAACGATATTAGCACTATTCATTCGATACAACACGAAATTAACTACAAAGATTCCATCAGGTACGTACTCATTCTAACAATGGAACTAAAATTAGCTTGTTCATATGAATAAGCGTGGAATGAGATTAAAAAAAAATATATAATACATGTATTTAAGTTGCTTACATACAAAAATGCAAGTATGGCATTGACATAAGACTCTTTCGAGAACAGCGCGAAAGAGAAATAAAACGATCGAAAACAAATCTTAAAAACGACAATATTCACATTGCATTTATATTTATTAACATATAGCACCTAAGCCGACAGTAAAATAATAAAAGCTGCCGGATTCAAATTGTAATTTGTATTCAATCGACCAAACTATTCAGGCAAGCAAGGAAATTATCGCTTCCTCCAGAAACACGCCCGTATTCTAAAAACGGCAAGGTAAATTAAAATTACAAAATTGAAAGAACACATTCTCCTATTTTGAACGAACAGATCGCGTATATTAAGTCATACAATATCACTTTTAAAAACATTTTATATTACAAGATTCCGATAGACAAAGACATTTCTCAACAAAGATAACTTTTCACATTGAAACACTTCAGAAAACAATATATACGCACTCGCGTACAGTTTATTTTTAATATATCTATTTCTTTTTTCAGAGTCACTCAAGGTATGTGGAGTACGCAGACTTTGATGAGGTTATGCGTGAATTTCGCATGAGGCGTTCGTGACGTGTGCTATCCGTTCGAGGACAGTTCGTCTTTAAGCCACTGGGGCACGGGCCGGCCGAGTCGAACTAGCAGTTTGGAGAGCGCCGTGTTATGCGGCGTGTAATAACGCCTCAAGAACTTGGCTGACTGCTCCTCCATTTGGGGGTAAACACGCCCTTTCGATTTACCTAGACATTTAGTCCTATAGTTACTTACCGCTTGGCAGTAGAAGCCTTTTTTAGGATCGTACCTGCGGAAGGGAAATACTTATAAAATTCACAATAAACTAAAGTATTTATCTCAAACTCCAAATGGCTGTAGCTATCCGCCAAATTCGTAATACATATAATAAATTTTAAAATGTATGCATTGGGGGTTATTCGTAAACGCAATAAATTCAAGGAACAAAAAAATAATAAAACCAAAAATAGCATAGTGAAAAAATAAACAGGTGAGTTTTTTTGTTGAACCTTATCGTACAAGTAAAATTAATATAGACCTGAAAACGTAGCAGACGATCTTATTAATAAACTAACTTCCCGTAGGGGCTTCGCCCGCTTATTCCTGTATTATACATATAAAACTTCCCCTTGAATCACTATATATTGATGAATACCGCATTCAATTGCGTTGTGTATCTTAAAAGATATCAGCGTATATACAGCAGGAAGAGAATTTGTTTTATACTATGTACAGATTTGTCTCTGAATGGTTAAACTAATTTGATCAACAGCATATTTTTGCCCGTGGGTAAACTATTCGTAAATATCAAACATGCACCGATCTTAAGGCATAAAGTAATAAAATAATATATAACCCATAGAAAAATGACGCATTTGCAAAAATCAATACACTTAATTCGATTCTTTCAAACTTCACTCGTTTTTTCACTACCGTGTAACACCAAAGATGAGAATTTCAACTCTATTTAGAAGTTTATTTTTTATTTATTTATCGTAACGGAAGGTGGCGCGATACTAGACGACGTTCATACGTCAAGCGAAATCAATTCCAAACACATAACTTTAAGCGACATTTTAAACTTCAATTGAACGCTAAACACATTCGAATTCAATGACAGTTATACAAAGTTTTATTAGTTACGCGGTACGCATGCTGTTAATAGTGGGATTTAAGTAAGGAACGAGCAAATTGCCATCGGCTTCAATCAGAAAGTTCAAGGCAATATAAGCGATTGTATAATTACACTCACTTGAGCAGTTTATTATAATCGACGTGCGGCGACAGTTTGAGGAACTTCTGCAGCGTATTCATAACGTTGGCGGGGTCTGTGCGCAGTAGCGAGCCATCAATGATGTGTAGTTGATGCCCGCTGAACTCCGCTAGCCACCGTTCCAGATAGTGACTATACTTCCCAGGGTTTAGGCATCGGTTCCTATATAGAAAAATCAAAATCATTTATTGTTAGGCTGTCAATGATCACTTCTAAAGTTTGAAAACAATGCCGTCGATTCGTAAAACTACTGACGGAGATTTTATATCGTAAAGAACCGACGAGTAATTCAGAACGGCAAATTACGGACAGACAATTTTTAAATGAACGGCTTATAAGTCACTGGTCATACATTGGTATTGTGTTGTGCTAAGATTTCACCCAAGTAAAAACTAAAAAAAATCTTTATTTTGCATTTGTCAGAAGTATGCTTATAAGGGGACTCCAGTAACTAGTAATAAGTTTATTATCAGATAAGGTAAATAATTTTTTTTTCTTTCTTTCAAATCTATGATATTTATATCTCGCATATTGAACACATACAAAAATTTTGTCCGGTTTCAATGCTACCATACAAGGGACTATTACAGCTCTTCTCTCTATATTGAATTATGTAGAAAATACCATTTTCTACCATTTGCTTTACGCTGTAATATTAAGAACCTAACGGTTTTTTATTTATTGAAAATTGCATCCAATTCAATTGACTGTCCTGAGCTATTAAGGCAACTTTCGTTAAGAGTTCCTAATAAGCATTTGAGAAATAATCTACTCTTACATCCTGGTACAGGCAAAACGTTTTTTTTTTGGCGCGCTTGTGATAAATTTAATAACACATGCAATATATTTACTTTAGATTTATTTAATATTAGGCCATCTTCGGCAAGAAACGCATTAAGCAATGATTTTTTCCGTTGTTAACTCTAATTGTATACAAGCAATTCTTTACTAGTTGTACGTGTAAACTTTGATTCATATTTGTGAGGACCTGTAATTGGCTGCTTGTCTCCTATTTTTATTATTATTCCTGTTTTTCAGCTGTAGGTCTTCCTATAGGTAATATAAAAAAATCGCATTCCGCATATGTGAATACAAAATTGTTCAAATATAATAAATTTATGATTTATTAAAATTTTGCAAAGCTGATTTATAACATTCGTGGCACGATATTTATTTATACTATGAATGACATACAAACCCGAAATTATCTAATTGATTTTAAAGCTCGATACGTTGAAAGTCGTATTCAATGTCGATTGGGATTATCAGGCATTTCTCAATAACGAGTGTGTTTTTTGTAGTAACGTGATTACCTACTGTATGTACTAATTTGCGTTTATGTGTAGTTCAGCGAACATTGTTTTCGGAAATTGGACCGTTCTCGTCGCCAGCGATCAATTTGCTCATTTCAATTTATATGTTTAATATAATATGAGCTCCCGAGTATGATATATTTAATTACCTACTTATTCAATAATTATACTGGTTTAAATGTCGATAAAGTACGTACGTAACGTAAATAGACAACACCATAATCAAATAAGTCGCACATTCGCCCGCACCGCGGCTGTCCAAATTAAGCAGACCTTCATTTAGATGGATATTAATTAAAAACTCAGAGCTTGAAAACTAGTACACATTAGGCTTGTCAAAGAGCGCGTTTTGGAAACGTACGTTTAGAAATCATTTTTGTCTCATACGTCCGTACGTATTGAAGCGAACTGTTTAAAACGCTGAATGTGTACTAGCCCTTAGACATCGCCAAAAAACTAAGCTACTTTAGAAGGCCGTGTAAATGACTTTTAGCGACAAAAGGACTGACATCTTCCGATCTTTTGTATTATTTCTATGTATTCAGATTTTTTGTATTGTATAATAGATAAAATATAGCCATACTTGGAGGAGAAACAAACCCATACGCTTAAGTATATTCTAATTTACAATGGTTAGAGGCATCCTTAATTAAAGCAATCAACGGTATTGATACGGCCGTTGTTCGTTTCGGTGACAGACATCAGGTTTAAAATCTTGCAATTTAAAAGTCACTGGGGTTATTTGAATGTAGCAATGATTTCGGTTTTGGCAAGTTTCTTTTAATACATAAATTGCAAGACTTGAAGTATTCTGCATTAAACGTGGTGACAGAACTTATGATCCGCCTAGGAACTGTCAATAAAAGCTAATTTTTTTGTGTCAAAACAATAATGAAAATTTATTAATCCCTAAAGTTTTATTTGTACAATAAGCTTCCATTATTGAAGCATAATTCATTTTCAGTATTCAAAGCAAGCGGTCGACACCGGTAATCGATAGTGACTAATGGTGAATTGAACGTAAATTTGCTATTCATTTACCGACCACGCTTAATGTGTTGGCATAATTATGTAAGGTCGAACTACTTAAATAACTAGACATTCCACTAAAACGTTACCTATTCCATAATGGCATTTTGTAACATCACCAGATTTTTTTCAGTTTAAATTACACTTCAGATGGAAATTATTAAATATTACCTGACATAATATTTAATCATTTTATCCGATGTAATCTGATTTATTTATATATTTAAAAGACAAAGCTTTAGGACGACGCACTTGATACACATCTAATAATAAATTCATGGTGCCCGTTAAGGCGCGGCTATAAGTGAATTCCCAATTTCGTCTTAGTCGTCTTGCAATGACGTGCGTATTCTTTGAAAATATTCAATATACAGGAGAAAATTGTTATCATTATAAAATTTTTCTCATATAGCTAATAACTATTGTTATGAAAAGATAATATTTGCGCGAAACTTATTTTTTTTCTAATTTGGATTTTTTTTGTCATATTATAAAATAGTCAATTAATTTTTTATTTCTTAATTTTCATATTTATTTTAAAAGTAATGATCAAACCATGGATATATTGACAAAAAGGAAATCGACCTCCGTGCATGTAGGGGAAACGGTATAGTTATTGGCCCTCAGATAGTAATTGGCCAATTGAATTTAATTATTAAAAAACTACCAACTAAGCTAACAAAGGTAAGATACAGAAAGTTTATGTTGGCAACACTGTTACTAACTGTCAAATAACGCCAAAAAAGTTTTGTTAGGTGTAACGGTCTTTTTGTGATTTGTGATTTTGTGGCACTGGAGCAAAAATAAGTAAGTTTAATTTAAATTTTGTAAGACATTAGATATTTTAAGTATGATAATTTTAGAAACATGAATGTAGTAAAGTAACTGAAAACCTATAAAATATGTAGTTTGTATGTTTAATTAGCGGATTTAAGGTGTGATATAAGAAAAAATTGATTATAACCTAAAATATTGTTATGGCCAATAACTGTCACTGTATTTTTTTCAATTTATAGTAATTGGCCTCTTATGCCCATTACTATATTTATTCTATACTTAGTAAAGAGCGTTTCTAATAGAGAGTTATCGTCTTATTTTTAAAATTATGCGGCCAGTTCAATCTCCATATATTTCAGAGGACTGTAAATAGTTATTGGCCTAGGCCAATTACTGTGCTACTTACATTACTAACCAATACAAAAATATGCCAATTACTGTGTAACTTTTTACGTATTTTTTAAAATTCAATGATCGTTTTTTTCTACTCCAATAGGTAGACTGGTTAAAAAACACACCATGCCAAAAAAACCCCAATACACCAAAGAAGCTCTTGATGAGGCATTGGAAAAAATTAATGACAAAACGATGTCTTTGAGAGCAGTTGCAAAGAAGTACAATATTCCAAGAGCAACTCTACAGTTCAAATTAAGGAATCCTACTTCGAGATCTCAATTTGGGCCAATGCCATACTTAACTTATGAAGAGGAAGATACAATTAAAAACTGGTTAGTCAGAATGTCTCGCAAAGGCTTTCCGAGAAAAGCAGATGATGTTCTCGATACTGTTCAAAAATTTTTGACTGCAAATCCACGCGATACTCCGTTTAATAACAATAGGCCTGGTCAAGGCTGGCTGAGAGCTTTTTTAAAACGTCATCCCGATATCAGTCAAAGAACCAGTGAGGGCGTTTCTAAAGCTAGTGCCTGCGTGGCTGAGAGCGATATAAAAAAATGGTTCGCAGAAATCAAGGATTATTTTACTACTGAAAATCTATTGGAGGCCATTCAAGATCCACAACGTGTTTTTAACGCTGATGAAACAGGTTTTCAGCTTTGTCCTTCTACAGGTAGAGTTCTTGCAGCTAAAGGTGATAAAAATGTTTATGCCGTCGAACAAGGAAACACCAAAGAAAATATCACATTACTGTTCACATTTTCTGCTGATGGAAGAACATGTCCTCCGTTAATAGTATTTCCTTACAAACGACTCCCGAAAAAAATTGCGTCGTCGGTGCCGCCACATTGGGGTATCGGACGGAGTGATACAGGATGGATGACTGCAGATGTTTTTAATCAGTTTGTCACTGACATATTGGCGCCATACCTTGAGGAAAACAACCAGTTATCCTATTTATCGATGGACACAAAAGTCACATTACTTTACAGCTCAGTTTAACGTGTAAGGAACTAGGAATCGAAGTTGTTGCTCTTTATCCTAACACTACTCGTATTACTCAACCGGCAGATGTATCAATATTTGGGCCAATCAAAAATATGTATCGCAAAGCAGTTCGGCAATTTCAAGCAGAAAACGTGGGAGAGGCTGTGACAAAGTTAAATATTGCTAAGATTTTAAAAACAGTCGTTGATAATTTAAAGTCTGATAGTATAATCAATGGATTTAGAACGTGTGGGCTATGTCCTTTTAACGAGAATGCTATTGATTACTCTAAATGTTTAGCTGCAGAAAAATCTGATGAAGCCGCCAATATCGATAATAAGCATATAACTATAAAAGACTTCAAAAATATTGTAGGAGTAGATATGATCAACAAGTTGAAAGAACTGCAATCTAAAGGTACATCTTTAAACGATAAATCTCCTACACTATACAAATTGTGGTGCTTTTTTCAAAGTGATTATCCTCAGAATGAATCAAACAGTGTTGAAATACAGACTGCAAATAATATAACCACTAATGTAAATTTTTCCTGCGAAGATAATGTGACAAAAGTACAAATTACTATGACACCCACTAAAACTCCTGTAGATTTGACCACGCCTAGTACCTCATATGATACTTCTTTTATCAGAAAATCAATAAATGATTACCTATCAAATGCGCCGGAAAATAAACGGAAATTCGTCAGAAACATAGAAAAAAAGCCGTTTGTCATTACATCCGAAAAGTTTAGAGCAGCTATTGAGAAAAAGGAAATTGAAAAGCAACAAAAAGAGAATGAAAAAATAGAAAGGAAAAGAAAAAGAGAAGAACAAGCAACCGCAAAGAAAGAACTTGCTCTTATGAAGACAAAAAAAGGTAAAGGTGTAGGGAAGAAAACAAAAAAGGAAAACCTAAGTGATGGATACGACAAAAAAAATGAAACGATTGAAATTAAAAATTTAAATGATGCCAATGAGGTAAACGAAAACAAGGAAATGAAAGGTGAAGAATGTAGTGATGGAAAAGATAATTTAAATAAAGATAGAAATAAACCAAAGATATTACAAAACCTTTTAGTAGTGACCTGTGATTCATGCCATCGTTTAGCAGTTAAACATAAGTCCTTATTATGTAGCTCTTGTCAGAAATCATACCATCCTCAGTGCATTCCTAATAAACACCAGGAACACATTCCGGATCAAGATGAGCTTTCTGATTTTATATGCCATAAATGTTATTTGTTACACGATGATTCTGAGTTGTCTGAGGATGAGAGTACTCAAGAGGATATAGGTATATTTTAATTATTGAAAATGATTATTTTTGATGTTTAAATTTATTTTATTTTATGTTTCAAAGATGGCTAATTACTGTACGATCTCAAGGCCAATAACTGCTATAGTGCGGCCAATAACTGTAAAATTTATATTTTTGTTTTTAATTTGATTTTATTTAGACAATATATTAAAATAATGTAGGTAAACAAAGAAAGTTAATAAATACAGTTCTATAGATTCCGTGAAACAACTTTTTATTTATTACAAATATTTATTTATTTTTTTACTTCCCGCTTTCTACATTGAAGTCGCTTAACTGGCCAATAACTATACCGTTTCCCCTATATCATAAATAGCCAGATATCATTTTTCTCCCTTTTTATTTAAAAAAAAGGAATAAAAGAAATCATTTGCCATATCAAACATAATATTAAATTTATGTTTACTGGCTAGAAATATTTCTTTACAGGGAACACGAAAACTTGTGAAATAAAATGGTCAAACGGTCAGTTGTACAAACGTCCATTAAATTTAATGATGCCTTTAAGCTGTAGTGAATTGTCGAATTTGAATAATGAATATTTTAATGGATGTTTGTGCAACTTGCTGTAAGAATATTAATTCCTCATTTACATTTTCTTACGATTACTGTAACTCAGCTTCATAGTGTTATCATCCAATTACATAATTCCACAAAGGTGGCCCACGCTCCGTCTCAAACATTGTATTGGCTTTTTTGAAAGAAAATTTCGCTGATGCGAGTTCGCCAACGTCATTACTCCATACTACGTCATAGCCGGCAATCATGTACTAAAACAACTACGAACTAACCTTAAATCTCTCAGTGGTTTCGGTGCGGCGTCGTTGGCGGTGATGATAGTGTGGAACGAGTGGTTGTTGGCGATCGGGTCTCCGTGCGATCTGATATGTTGATACCAAGAATAGGCCCTGTAGAGAATGAAAACAATGAAAATAGCTCTCATTAGGTGGTTTCTTCCTGCGCGGAAGAAGCGATTTTTGTTTGACGTTGAGTAAAATAAACAATATAATTTGTGGTTTTACACTATGGCGCCGGCGTGTATTTATATTTATTGCAAAAAAGATATATTAATCAGCTTTAATTATCAGTATTGTCTATTTTTATCGATTGGATATACTCAGTAACATAAAGCTTTTTGGAGAATAATGAAACACCAATTAATTTATAATGTAAGGATTTCTAATAATACGTCTTAGTTCCGAGAAAGGTACTTTAATTTATTAGAAACCCTGATTGCGATCTATTTGGTATTTAAGAGTTTTATTTTAAGAACTATCGAAAGCTTATTGATTTATTAATATTTGAAGCTTTTTGGTGATACATTCTACACGACTTTAGCATTATGATGCAGATTGAATTCATATTTAATTAATTAATTGGATTGGGTTGGAGTGTAGATGAATTGGGTCACACTGATTTCACAAAATTTGAAGAGCTATTTCTGTCTTTCTCACATTTTAACATAAAAATTGACACTGCTTTCGATACTGAGTTCCGCTGATAATGGCCTAGTCGTTGAAGCAAAATCTGTTAAATTTATATAGTCTGTTTTGTCAAATCACAATTGACAATATAACACTCAAAAACACGCACGAATTATAAAATTGATTCATCAAAATGTGTGTTTTATTCAGACAACGTTCGCCGCGTTTCGCCATAATCGTTCTACTTGCATTTTACTACTCGTATGAATCTCAAGTGTTAAATTATTAGTACAACATCTTCCTCACAAATTGATGGTGAATTTTTTTATTTTATTTTGTGATCTAGTTAATATTTGTGATAAATCAGAGTAACAAGAACCGAATGAGGTTGTTGATACTCTCAAGAGTCGTAGTTAAAACGTTATCGACTTCCCTTAAGGATAAATCCTTATAAATAATTGATTCAACTTTAAAGTAACAGTTATTGCGTTAATTATCATTCTTTTAGTTACTAACAATAATCTCAATAAAGGTCATTTTATTATATAAAGTGGTATCAAAAAGTTTTTTACTTTTCCATATTTTTGTGCCATTAGAACTTGAACGTAATTATATTCTCCCCAGAGGGTCCAGGATAGACGTTCAGTGTTTGAAAGACAAACAATTAACAAAACAAACAACAACTTCAGGGTGGGCCGAATATTAACAAAACGAAAAATTATTACAACACAATCATCCATTTTTATAAATTAGCATTGCCTGTTGTTGTCATAAATTTGGTAATTACAACAAGATGGTGTTTCTGTGTTGCATTTTCAAATATAATTTTGACGTTTTAGAGGCTTTGTATAATGTTTGTAGTTCGTGAGAAATATACAGACAAATGTTATTAGAAGCCATCGCCGCTTTCGAACACCATTTGAAATGCGCTATTAGATGACACAAATAGCTGCCGTACCTGTACAAGGTCTGACCATTCCGAGACGTCTCTATAGAACTGCGTATTGGTTATGCCACTTAACATTACTACATAATTTTATATATTTTTTAATCATATGGTCTTCATATCAATTGGGTGTTTAATACCTCTTCAGTTGTCCTGTTTGTCTTTTGTTTATATAAATTACGCTTAAAGATTGAAATCGCTTATTGAGCGAAACAGTAATTCATAACGCGTTGTGGCAATCGCAGAATAACCACTTAACGAAATCCGTGTAGTGGCTTACATACTATTCGACCTCAAAGCGTTCTGAGCATTAGTTGGTTAACATGCTGTTTCATTTTATAATAGCGATTCGCTTCTGGCAACTCGCCGGTTGTTGCCGCGGAATGCTCGCTTTGCTCGCTGGGCTTGTGCGATGTTTGTTATATTCTAAGCTAACCTAATCAAATATGGTTCAATGTGCTTCATGGTTTTTATTCAATGCCACAACGCGTTGTGGTTGAAGAGTATGATAACCACACGGATTTCGCTATGTGGTTATTCTGTGATTGCAACTACGCGTCGTGAGTGATTCCATAAGAGCTATAACACGAATTTCGCTATATGGATATTTTACTGTGACCACAATACATTGTGAACTATTTTTTTCCTAAATGAGCGATTTCGATCTTTGACCGTAACAAGTACCTACATGTTATATATACATGGTAAACATGTTATTTGGATTTCGAATGTGGAAAAGTTATTTCTATATTATAACGCTTTATAAATATGCTCGCAAATTTTGTGATTATTGTGGCGAGTATTACAAATCCCGGGACATAGACTGGCGAATGTATCTAAATATAATTTTGACGAATATATAATCATTAATAAGTACAAGCTCCCAAAATCTACTGAAGACATTTCATCATTCGTCTCTGCATATTTCGCCGCTCTATCAAATAATGTACGAGTATTTTAAAATTATAGTCATTGGTAAATGTACTAACCTCTTGGATGGTGATATCAATATGACAATGATTTTCGCATTGGGCAGGAGCGCGTGCGCACGTCTCGGAACAAGATCGCCGTCGAAGTATGTCGCCGACTTTTCGAATGTGATTTGCGTTGAGTTTGTCAGACTGGGCGGGAAAAAGTTTAAGTACCTGCCAATAAAGTGAATATAGTTATACTTCTGGTCGATGAGAAGTTTAGTTCTGTGATAACGTACGTTAAGTAAGTTTCGAGAACTAGTCATCGGATTGGTGACAAAAATTTTATTATTTCAAGCTTCGCCGTAATTTAGTATATATATATAATGACGTTACCAAGTTCCAGGAATGGGACCCAGTTTGGCTTATGATCCCTTCTACTTGTATTTCCATCCATAGAGAAGAGATGTGTCTTAAAAATAGGGAATTCAAAAGGCAGACTACGATGATTACGCTTATCTATAGTTTTTTTTTTTTTTTATTTAATTGTTATTTAATTGTTTAATAAAAAAACGAAGTAATAAAATCACAATGCCTGGTCCTCGGCATTGAAATTTATTCCGGAATAAAATAAATCAACACATCTGCAATACAATTCATGTGAATACATGTTTGTTCGATATTTAAATTCTGTTTTAGAAGTAGCACCGGTAAAATCACCGAAAAGCGATGTCGCTGGGGGTATATTGGGAAATTTACTACGTATATTGAATGTACTTTTTCTATTCCAGTTGAAAGGGGTCAAAAACCGTAAAATCGGAGCGAACACAAGACAACTGATTGGATCCAGAATGTACATTTGCACTTGAACGTCGGCTGATGTTTTACTGCCGCCGGCGTTCGAATCAATAGTGGGAGGTATAAACTACAAAACTCCTTTCGCATTTGCACCGCCAACAAAGTTGTTTTTAGTTTCGAATACAAATCGTAAACCGGTTAATAAAATCCGCCAATACGTTACCGAATTGATTTCCGTGGTGTACCTCAATTACTGGGCTACGACGCGGCAGGCGGGCCGATCAACGGGAGTTATGGAACAAACTTTATTAGACCGCTGTGCATGTTTTCCAAAACCGTTTTATATCAGAACAACGAATAAAGTGGGATACCATACCGCTGCGAAGACACGCAAACGGCGAATGTGAACAATAATGTTCGCACAAAACGCTCAAAATATCTTTCCGTAGAAATGTTTAATATTTTATTCTTAGAATAAAAGTCGACGACGACACAAAGAGTATACAACAAAAGCAAGTTTTCTGTCCAGATATTCCACTTCTCGGAAGATAAGTCTTCTTGAACTACTTTCATCAGTAGTTGAAGGACATCATTATTATTGAAAATATATAGATCATACAAAAAAAAGTATTTTATTTTAACTCGGTTTGCTTTCAATCAAACAGGATTCATTCCCGGATAATATGATATTATAGACTCGGTTTAGACGTTAATGGAATTTACAGCTCTATTCAATTTTAGTAGCAAGCATTACTGTTCTAAACTGGTAGTATTCATGATCACCGCGTAATATCCATTACGCAGCAATCAAGATTAGATCAGAAAGGGTTTCAAAGTTACTACTATAAGAAACATTCCAGCACCAAAACTTATTAATTTTAGTAATACAAAAGTCCCTGCCAATTGCGAATAGTTGGCAAAATATTCTCATTCTTGTGTGATCGATTCTAAATATAGAAGATGATTGGATGTTACTTTTGCAGTACGGAATTGCTAAGTTTTTATAAAATTAACAATTGTTTCACTTAGTTGACTAATACAAGAAGTCATTTACAGAAAGGAAGTACAGTAGAAACATAGGTAGTCAATGAAAATACCCGATTTATTATTGGATTTTTTAGTGATAGCTAGTGGGAATGAGGGAATGAGAAACTAATGGATATATGATAAACTACAGTATATTAATAAATAATAAATCACAGCGAACACGGGAAACGATAATGAAGACAAAGTGCAAAATCAAAAAGTGAATTAAATGATAAAAAGAACAAATTGTAAAAATATAAAACATATGAAAAAGGATGGTGTCTCTCCAGCCACTCGCCAAAAGTTAATGTCTAAAAAAACTTACCAGTCTAGACCTTTGAGATAATTGTTGTTATTGAAGAATTGCAGCTCCTCGTAAGTGGTGGGGCTGGGCAGATTCGCTGCGAGTGCCGGATGCATACCGAGGAACGTGTACAGAGCTGTGCTGCCCGTCTTCTGCGGCCCGACGACCAATATTCGCGGCAGAGTACCACACCATTTGCTTTTAGACCAAATGCGTCGATGTCGGATGTCATCGCATGGATTCTGTAATATACATTACAGTGAGCTTCGCCCCTAGATGTTATAGATCCGTAGATCCGGTTTTGGTCACTGCTTCTTTTTGGCCATATGGAAACTCTATATGGCCAAAAAAAGCGTTCTAACTCACGCATAGACAAATATATTACTCTACCGTGAACGGTTTTTAAATTCTACATTATTGCAAAACTACTGTGATTTGTCGAAATTCACTTGCTCGTAATTCTTAAAATGGTCAAAACTAGGTCATTATCTTAAAATGGCCAAAACGGGGTTCTCTGCCCTAATTTGGATACATACAATAATTTTCTTTAATTAATGAGTTAAGGTATTAATTTAACCGTCCTTTAGTTATGCGATTAAAACAAGTTTGTCGATTCAATTTTGAATGATTTAATTAATATCATATTATACCTGGATAATATAAACTATAACTAGCGCAGGCGAAGTCGCCTTCAAACAGCCAGTAAGCAAATAAAGGGTTAGTTATATTTGGCAAAACATAATCAGCAAAACTTAATTCATTAACCTTACATGTTAATTTCAAATTCAGAGAGATGACTCACTAAAATATATATACCACACCATCTAATTTATAGTTTTATAAATATAGAAGTTGGCTATATTAAGTAGATGTAACTTGAATCTGGAAGCCTATTAAAATATGAAGTACTTAACGTATTTTCCTAACGCAACATTGTTTAATTAATTGGATACACACGCAAATATGAAACCACAATTTAAGCTGCCTTTGAACAGAACTCATTTCATCAATTATAAATATTTGAAAAAGCAACATTTATTTTCCAAGGCAATGAATATATAAAAAGCAATGCAATCAAAAGGGAAACGTTCACATTATTGGTGTTTGTTTTTAACAATTCCAAGATGAAATATTATTTTATTCAGACAATAAACAATGCAACGGGCGATCCAGTAGCACTGAATAATATATTTTCAATTACTTTTCATACAATATTTCTGATATCTTATGAAACAAAAAAATATTAATAAATCCAGCATAGTCTGTATTGTTTCGAAGGAAGTCTGAGAGACGATTGAAACTACAAACTCTATTTCTGGCGTGATATTAACTTTTGAGATCATAAAACTCATTTTCAATGAATTTAATGAACTAATTTAATCAGTATTCATAGTATATACTACTTTTATCGCAGACCAAATTAATTTCTGTCACTCTGCCGATAACTTTTCGATGCTGATAATAAATTTCTAATGGCATCTCATTATCACGGTTTGAGCCCTTGTTAGTCAAATTATGTATTAACATTTTTTTTAATGTAGTTTATCAACAGTATTCATGCTAACAAATAGAACGATGCCGATTATTATGCCGTAACCATACATGGTATACATATAGTAAATGTATAATAACTATATACATATAGTAAATGTTTTCCAAGCTTAACTTTTCGAACTATACGCAGGATGTTGTTTGTGATAATGTTTGCAGTAGCGCACGTTGATGCCGATATATTGAAATATCGCAACTTTAATTCTGTACTATGATATTTATTATTCCAGAGAATATTACAGTACAATGCGTGTATTACGAGTATAATAATATTTTCAGGTGTCACCATTTCTTTGTCTACCTTTTCGCATTTGTAGATATAAGAACTGTTGAATTGATTTATGATAATCGTAAAAAATAACATGATACCTAAAGTGCTAATACGACTCGAAAGAAACACATTTTTCGATAATTAATGATGAGATAAAAAAAAAACACGGATGATTTAAAAAAAAATATAAGAACTAAATTTTAAATTTTCCGAATTTTTGTTCGAGGATATATAGAAAAGGCCATCAGGTGTCATGTTAATTCGTATGAGTAATACGTTCTGATGTGATAACATATATATCTTCTCTTCTCCGCTTCAATAGAAGGTGTCAAGCGGAGTGACGTTATATTTTGAGTAAAAAAACTATTTCCCGGCGAGCAGTATGTTTTAGTATTTCACTTTCTATTTAGGTTCAAGATTATATTCGTAATAATAAATAAATATTAGACAACACACTCACTGTTCAGATACAAAGTGAAATATTATGAAAATTGGAAACAACGAAACCACAACTATCCCCGACTAGCTCAGTTATCTATACAAATATTATAAAGAGGTAAATTTTCTTTCTGAGATAATTTTAGGAAAAACTGATCTGATCACGAAATTCTTTCACTTGACAAATGGGTTGTAATTTACACTGGCGAAGTCACGGGAAGCAGCTAGTAATTATTATTTAATAAATTACCTTTGCTTTCGTATTTTAAATAAGAAAACGGATATTACTTTATGATAAAATACAATATTGTTCTAATATTTATGAAACATTATATCAAACAAGCCATATTTATAATACAATGTGGGCGATGAGGGCGTGTCAACATACGCTGGAAAGTAAATATATACAAGTTAGATTAGATGTACGTAACAGTTCAAATTATTTGGGCCAAGTAAAGCTCCGTAGCCGAGTGGCTCGCACATCGTGTTCAAGGTGTCACTGTGTCCGTGTCCCGGATTCAAGCACTGGTTACTTAACCAATTTTGAAAACGTAATTTTCTATATTGTCTCGGATATTAATGTTATGTATCATCATAGTTTCAGGTTTTTATATAGCTTCAGTCATTTTTAACTGGTTCTATGCTTTTTCCATTTCCTTTAGTTTAGCCTGCTCTCTTCCTTACAATTTTTATTCCTAAATTGTCCTCTCTCTCTTTCTCTTCCTCGGTTGGAATCCTCTCACTTGTCTCCAAGGCGATGTTGGCAAGAGTGGGATTTTAAATGCACTGAAAGTTTATCTCTCCATCCAAGTTACATTTCAACGCGCTCTGTGAAGGGCTTCGGATCTTCAGCGATAATTATATTATCAGGTACAAATAAAGCGTGAACTATTTAACTAAAGAAATGTCTACAGAAAACATATCAAATGTGTTTCTAAAACACAACGTGTTGAAGTAAACATTGCCAATAAAGTAACAATTCACTGTTATATTTTCAGTATAATACCTTTTCTTTCGACTCACAAGGCTGAAAGGCAAAAGATGACAGATAACTGTCACTGTCAGTGTCATATCATTTATCAATTTTTGGCGGTAAGTAAAAAAATTTCAGAAGTCAATTTACCAAGAAAAACAGAATTTTGCACATTTTTATAGTGTTTTAAAGCTCCAATCAGTGTTTACTGTGGGCTAATTGCCAAATCCAATTTTTACCGATCATTTTGTAAGCCATTTTTGTTCAAACTTATCGGTAAGATGTAGTACAATAGCAGAGTAAAACACGAGATTTGGTTGAATATATTGATATCGTTTAATGGTCGCCTACGCTGAAAAACTAACGTTTTAACCTTACGTGAAGTTGAGAGAATTGTCGTCGATAAAATCTTGCCATTAAAAGGTAAACAGAATATTTAATAGTATACCGATTAAGCACGAATACGCTTTTCAAAACAGTATTATTATGCAACAATAAAAAAATATATAACTCACCCCCCAAAGCGGATTGAGCTCATCAGGTCGCAGCTGGAAGTATTTCTCGGCGAGCGCGAGCGGTGGGGCAGATGCAAGTCGCACATTAGTCCAACATCGAAGGAACTTCACGACCGACTCGAACGTATACAACGCTAAACGATCGTTGCCGTAGTTAGACATGTGGGTCATAAACACGTTGATCTGTTGCAACAAAAAAAATCTTATGTCACAAAATATAATCTACATTTCTCAATATTATTTTAAACTGTACTTTTAGGGTTCCGTACTCAAACGGCAAAATCAGGACCGTATTACTAACACCAGTATCAATAGTCGAGTAAAATTTATAGGGATGATGACTCAGTTTTGTTTGTTTGTCCGTAATGCTTAATATCTGAGCCATTTCTTGTTAAATTGAACAAAAAAAAGTATCTTATATTTTTTTACTATCTCACTAATGGACTAAACAGAATTTCTTTTTTTTAACCCAGTCATCATACCTACCAGTAAATATTTTTAACAAATAAACAAGAATTTGAATGAAGTAAGAACTGTTAATAGTAAGAATATTATTATTTAAGTTATTACTTTTACTGAACTATAAATACGGGTGTAAAACTTCACTGTCAGTCAGACTACATCTCATAAACCCTGATAACTAGCCCGTTTATTTTTTTACAGATGATATATTTCTGTTGTCGCTATAACAAGCAATACTAGAAACAGAATATATGAATATTTAAGGAGGACTCCAATACAACAAACGTGATTATTTTGCAATTTATAGATTTAATAATACGGAACCCTTTGTGCGCGAGTCTGACTTTCACTTGGCCGGTTTTTTGTTTCTTATGCATATGTACAATCACGAAGCGTTTTGTAACCTGGATAATATAACCAGGTTGTAAATTCCTTTCTCCTTGACCGCTATTTTGTCAACAAACATTGTGGAACATGAGAATGTAGAAATATAGGATATTATGAACTCACTTGAACCCTATCCTCTGAAACTGATTTGATGGCAGTTGTAGTATGTGAATATTAAGAATCAAGTTATAAACGTGATTTAGATGGAATGCACTAATATGCAAATAATTCACGTTCGATGAATGTGCTTCCTTAGCAGTTACATATCACGTACCCTAATATCCCCTCTTAGATTTAAGGAGTATTTAAGACGAATATTGTTTAGTTAAATGGTGATCTACAACCTGGAACATAGTATCATTTCTCCCGACCACGCTGACGCTATTTCACAGTCCTAGTTTTACATTTTAATGCTATCAATGTTGTATTTCAGCTACATATATATCTTGAAAGATTATCGATAGCATTTCAATATTTCAATTATAATTAATATTAGTTTCATCCTATTCAGTCATTATATTAATTAACATTTCGGTGAACCTGAAAACGAATAATAAATGGGTATTCATGTTTTGTTAAGTGGACCGTGTGAAGTATGACTAAGTGAAATTAAATCTACCTACTCGGGCAGTGCTCGGAATCATCCATTTTACAAGCAGAATTATCTTATCAGCGCATGATTGCAAATTTGTGTCTGCATTCCCGTTTAAAATTAAACTTTATGAACTGTAAATTTGGTCCAATTTATTTTATGCCGGTTAAATAAAATTTGCAGCGGACACATCTCATTCGATTCGAAAGACTTTGCAGACTCCCATAAATATAACTTTGTATTACATGACGTGACGAACATAAGTGAATATATGTTGTACAAAAGATACTTAGGGGTTTCTTGCAATCATTGTCCTTTTATTTCGAAACTTCATAATATAAACAACGATAGTAGGTAATTATAAATATAAATCAGGGCAATTATAGTTTTATTTATTTCGTATAAAGATGATTTATTTAGATTTAATATAATATTTGTTTTGCACCGTAAAGAATCTCATATTTATGCTCGGGATGTCGGGATGTGTAATATTTAGCTTACACGCTTGAAAAAGTACCTATAAGGTAGGTGATGGTATTTTAGAAATGAGAACGCCCGGAGAGGGAAGAATCTAAACTAAAATATAAATTTAATTTACTACACACGAATGCATACTATACGAATATTATAATACGAAAGTGTTTGTTTGCTCCTCTTTCACAACACAACGGAGGGTCGTTATCCATAGTATCGTTTTTGTATGGCATTTGGGATATTGTGTATAAGCATCTCATTGCCTTTGAGTAGTACCTAATCTGTAAAGTGTAAATATGATATTGGTTGGAAATATATGAGTCTTTATTGTACAACCTCAAATATAAGGTAAATACATAAACTTTTTCCTATAAGGAAATGATAAACAGGCCATATTCATTGTATTCTGAGAAAATTACAGACTTCCAGTTTTTGTAAGGTATTTAGTAAGAACAATGTCATATTTTAGCTTAAGGTTTAAATTAAGCTAAAATATGACAATATTATTATATAAGGTTTAAAATGCAGTGGAGAAAATTTAAATAATAATAAATATTAGATACGTATTTTTTTTTTTACTTCAATTTAACAAGAAATAACTTAGATAAAAGGCACTAAAGTTGTGGAGTGGGGGCTCGAAACGTCACAGTTGAGTAGAAAACGTACCATAACGTGACGTCATGCGAAATTTCAACTCCATGTAACGCCGTAATTTTATGATTACGAAAAAAATATAAAAATACGTGTTTAAATTTTTTTAACACTCTACCTGACGGACAAACAAACAAAAATTAGTCATCATCTCTATTGCACAATAGTCATGACGCTGGTAAGAAAGTACCCCCAAATCCAGCGGTCTTCAAACCAGAATAACTTTTTATTTTTCAATAAAAAAAGTCTTATTTCTGTATCAATCGAATATGGGTTACCATGAACGTTGATAAGATTTTTTTTCGAAAAAACAAAATGTTATTCGCCTCTGAAAATTAATTTTGGTTTTGCGGGTTACTACGTGTTTGATTTACAGCATCGAATTATATTCACGTTGTCGTTGAAGGGGACGACGAGTCCCAAAACAAACAAGTGTTGGGATTCATGTAACTCGCTATAAGTTACACCGAACATGATTTCTAATAATTCAACAAACTTTTTATAAAGGATTTTATATGAAAACCAAAATAAGTTATACAATTACGTCATATCAAGTTTAGTTGGTAGGTCAATATAAACGGATTTAACTTCATATGTAGGTAGTTTTAAAATGCAAAATATATATATTTACTCACTGGATTATTGATGACGGTTTGGAACAGTTCCCCGCCCTGTATTGAACGGTCAAGTCTCTGTCGACCTCCAGGATATCTCTCCAGTAGTAGTGTATGTGTGAAAAGGCCACACGTTTGACGCGGTAATACCATCACACCTCTGTGACGGAAGCCACGACGTAACCTATACACATGACAAACGAAATAATGTTTAGGAGTCTTAAGGTCAAATATTTCTTATTTCTTCCTCAACCCGCCCTTTCCTTTGCTGTTCTCAACATTCAAATTAAAAATTAAATATGTGACATTGTGTTTCAAATTGATACCACCTCCTTTTGACCTATGGATATATCAGAACGAATGCCAAAGGATGAATTTAATAATAAACAAAAGTGTGTGTGTGTGTGTGTGTGTTGTGTGTGTGCGTGCGTGTGTGTGTGCGTGTGTGTGTGCGTGTGTGTGTATTACTTAAGAATGTAGAAGGGTGATTTTAAGCGGCAACGGGGTTTTGTAGAAACATATTTATTTAAAGAAAAAGAAGATCAAAAACACATGTTATATTTAGTAACGCAATATTAAAAATTGTGCTCTAGTTATTTTTTTCAGTGTTTGACTTATTTGGTGTGCTTTTGCGATATTGCGAAAACATCTTTTTAATAAATTAAAAACGTCATATGGCTGTTCATTTTCACTCACGCTGTAATAATATACATCGACACATCTTTAATCACAATATGCCATGATTTTGTTTTACGACGGACTTAAGTATTGTCTATAATGGAGATATTCGTCGTAAAGTTAAAATTTAAAATTGGATTAAGCATCAAGAAAACTAAAAGCCGTTGATCTACTAAACTCTCATAATTTTCTAGGGTAAACCAATTTAAGTTTTAAAAAGTTTTCATTAATATCAATTACGATAACCGATTTCTTTAGACTTAAGTTTACAAAAAAAAAAATGTCATTAAATAATGATTGCTAAAAATTTTAAACGTCTAGTTCGTTACAAAAAAACATTTAAGTAATATATCTCTCTCTATCTCGTTTTATCAAAATGAAATTGATAATTAAACGAACACGTAGTAATGTCGTTAAAATTTAATGTTATATTTATATCAGAGTTAACGTTACAAAAGCTAATGTGTTGGTGCACCCCCTTTTTATCTCCGGATTCCCGTATTTAGTGTTATCTCTAGAAAGCTTACAGAGACCGTTTCCACCTCTAAGTTATGTTTTTGCTGACTCTAAAGTGCTTTGTAGGGTCTAGTGATTGCGATCTGTATCGTTTGAAGACGGTAATTTATACGATTCAATTTGTACCGTCGTACTTATAACTGAAAGTAGAACCGTCTATTCTAATTGACAGAATATAATATTTCCTCATCTTTATAAATGGACATCGTTTTGTAACACGCGTTAGAATCTGGGTGAAATATTTTATTTATTATATATTAAGACTTCTTAAAAGTACTTTTGAATCGTCCAACAATTGATTTTTATTTATTTATTTAAGCTTTATTGCACAAATTAAAAAAAAAAATTCTCTACCAGTCAACCGGAGAGTTGTAGAAGAGAGCTTAAAAAAAAGGCGGTGCAACTATGAAACAGAGAGCCAAACAGTTTCAATGTGAAAAATTAAATTAAAACTACCAATATCTAATTTTTCCTACCACTCGTTCAGGACGTCTATTAGCTGATAAGAAGAACGAGCAAGAAACTCACCTGCTCTAATAGGAGTAATGACATTCACAAAAACCATGTCATTACCAGATCAATACATTATAAATAGAGAGAGAAAAAAGCTATGGTCTTAAAATGGTAAAATTAGTTCGATTAAAAAAAAGATCGCATGATCGCGGCCAATTAATAAATGAAACAACACTTAAAACCATATATATCTAAACTAATAGTATAAAGAGGACAGATTCGATTGTTTGTTTGTATGTTGCAACGAAACTATTGGACCTATTTTAATAATTCTTTCACCTACGGGAAGATACATCATATGCGGTGCACATGGGCTATATTTTATCCTGGAAAACAATAAATAAAGGGATGAAAATGGGAATGGAGGTTTGTATAGGGAAATAAAACGTTGCCATAGTAAGCATTGTTTACTATTCAATTTGTCATTGTAAGTATATCCGTATCATGCATCGATATCCAAATAAACAGTTCCCTCGGGACTACGCGGGCGAATTTTCTCATGTAACTAGTTCGACGTTATAATTGAACATTGCCACGTGTGTATGGTAAGCTGCAATTCCAAGTAATATAATTATTGTAATTTCACTGTCGGACGAACGTCCGATGCGGCGACGGCGCCGCAAACGCAACGCTTGCGGTCGATAGGAGTTCGGAAGTGAGCCGCAACGTCCGCAAACAGTTTCAGTTAACGGCGACTCTTATTGCGATCGTTTACGTTACGTTGTCGATCGTGAAACTTGATGTCGACAAATGAGCTTCTATTGTGTTTGCGGGACAATTTTAGGAACACAATTGAATATAGCACGAAACTGCGCTGGCTGTGTGTGAACTTGTAGAAACACTAGGTTTTATAGAATTATCAGCGGAATAAAATACACACACACACATATTTAAACTGTCACATATTGTGATCAGATTTAACAATTTTATTTATATAATAAATCTATAGTATTTTATTAATACACAAAGAACGGCGTGGACGGTAGAACTAAACAGCAGTAATTAACTATTGGACAAAATTGCTTATATTATTAGTTTTTACGTAGCAGACTTAAAAATAAGTTTCTTTTTTTTTTAAACTTGTACACATAAAAGAAAAGCTACTATAAAAATTTCATCAAACACGTATAGAGCTAAGACTAGAAACTCACCTTGCCGGTCTCAAATGTGGATACTCCTCAGTACTGGTGACTTTCACATCCCAGACTTTTCTCCACGCTTCGTACAAAGGCTCATGCACTGGATACACGCCCGAGTGATGAGGTGAAACTGAATAACACGAGTTGGTGGGGATGCCGTGTTCTACGGCGAACTGTTTGTTGAGCATCATCTCAGTTATTAATTGGGACACGTTGTTGTATAAATGTGGCTGTTGATGATTCCACATGTGGCAAAACCTAGGAACAAAATAAAGTACAACGTATAAAAAGAAGCTCGGTGGCATAGCGGATAAACGTCGCGGCCCGCGGACGTTGTTCGTAAGCAACTTTTGCAAGGGTCAGTCACGGGATGGGTGACCAAAAAATTATTATCTCGAGCTACTCCGTGCTTCTGAAGGCCAGCTGCATTTGCAATACCCTCCTATCCGCATTGGGTCAGCGTGGAGGGTTATGACATATTATCCTCAATCATCCATACGGAAGTTATGAGCCCTGCAGTGGGGACGTAGCAGAGCTGACGATGATTTATAAAGAGGAGTTATAATGCAGAGAAATTTTAACATTCAATATCACCCTATTAGTCTTCCCCCTTTAGGGGCCCCAGGCCTTCTCTACGGATGGAATTAAGTAGTACGAACGTGCTAAAACCCATTCAGCGGGTCAACGGGTGCTAGCTGTATCTGCAGTCGATCTTAACGTACCGTCTGAGGCATAGATAATCTCTCTGTATAGTACATTTTTGGTCACCCATCCTATGACTAGTCCATACGAACGTTGCTTAACTTTTTAAAATGCAAATCAAACGCGCCATTTAGCTACTCTTATTCCATTTTAACATTCAAAAAGTAACAAAACGTCTATAAAACTTAATTACATTTGTATATGGGCACGGTGGCTGCAAGAATTCAATCGAGAAGTCTGTACACGCATTAAAGTTAAATTGATAAAGAAGAAGTGAAATATCTACGATGAATCCTTTGAAATTTCTGGTCTGAGAACCATTTACCCAACTTAAATAGATATCCCTCTAGAATTTGAGATATTAATTTTCATAATGTTTGAAATGATATAATAAGGATACGTTCAGTTTGATCAAACATTCGAAACTGCTATCGCAGTGAGTATAACCATCAGTCTGTTCGACGGAACGTGCGGACAGAAAAGGAAAGTTCACAAATGACCCTTATTTACTTGTACCAGGGATCGCTGCGCATTGTAGTGAAACTACTAAAACTCGGTCAATTTCTCATTTAGCCAGTTCCGAATTAGTAACTACGGCGAACTGTTACTTTTTTCCGAATAAATCGAGTGCGCTTTTTTGTTACAAGTTTTATATCGGTGGAGTTTGTTAGTGTAAAAAGTGATAAATGTATTGTTTTTATAGCTGGCGTGACAATATGGCTAAAGTATGATAGGCGATGAAGCATAAAGTGAAACTGATTTGATGTCTTCATCAATTACTATATACTTACAGTGATGGCCATATAATTAAGAACGATTTGTAGTTAGTTATAGAAAATATTAAATGAAACTTGCCCAATTTTTTTTAAATATTACTTTTTGTAAGTTTTTACTTACAAAGAGATAGTTAGTTAAGATAAACTAAACTGGGATAGTAATATAAAATCAGTAAAGTTTTTTTTTGTAAAGTATATTTATTATGGGCAGTATTATAGTATATGATATGAACCTTCACAGATAATTAGAAACGATACTCTTAAGCTGTTGGTAAATTGTTTAAAATAAAAAACAGAATAATTGTGTTGTTATAATATAAAAAAATGTACATTAAATAAGAAATTAAACATATTCGCATGTCCACGACTCTTAATAACTGGTTTACATCGACGAGGCATTGACTCTATAAAGGGTTTAGCCGGATACGTATGACGAGTCGGCCCCCAAATGGGAATCGATATCGAAACTTATGTTTTAATTTCGACTTGATGTTCAAACACAATTTATGTACTTTTCGTGACCGACTTCCGCTTGACCTTGAGATAGAGAGCAAAATATCCGTATGCTTGACTATTACTGAATGTGATATATCTCTAAAGCTAATTAAGATAAAGAAGTGAAACTAACGCGAGGTGTTAGGTTACATTACAGAGTATATCGCATATATTTTTTTAATTTTTAGAATAAAAAATTACATTAAAAAAAATCATGTTTTTTTTCTGAGTTCTCTGTGACTTACAATCACGAAATTAATATATGTTATGCTCCTTTGTGTGCTCTATTACCCATAAAAATTGCGTGAAAAAAATGTTGGTGCAACACAACGAAAAAAAATTATATGTGATTCGCGCCTTGTAGTATAGTGTATAAACAAACAAGTTCGAACTTGTTATCGCGCTGTTTACTGCATCGTTTGTTTAGCTAAAGTCGCAGTCATTTGTATTACACAAGAAGGCAGTTTGGGACTCAAATTCTGTCATAGGTATTTTGTGTCAGCATTTTGAAATTATTAACTATCGAACCAAATCATTATTAAGTAATAATGTCGAGAAAGTGTAAAAATTGTAACAAGTACCTGTGTAAGATTCCTGGTTATAAAAAAATTATAAAGAATGAAGAAGAAGCTAAAGTGTTTAGTGACTGTTTGAATAAAATCGTAATAGTTAATGATATTTTTTGTAAGAAGTGTCGACTTATCCCATATATTAACAAAAAAGCTTCTACTTCTAAATGTGCAGCATTTAACTTGGCCGAAATAATGGACGATCGAAATAATCTCTCAGTACAATATGTGAAATTTCACTTCTTTATCTTAATTAGCTTCAGAGATATATCACATTCAGTAATAGTAAAGCATACGGATATTTTGCTCTCTATTTCAAGGTTAAAGCGGAAGTCGGTCGCGAAAAGTACATAAATCGTGTTTGAACATCAAGTCTATATTAAAACATAAGTTTCAATATCGATTCCCATTTGGGGGCCGACTCGTCATACGTATCCGGCTAAACCCTTTTTGACATAATTAGAATTCCATTCTTCCAAGGAAACGTTATAGTTCCCTTAAATTATCATAAAGTCCATTTGCTACCTTTTTTTTTAACTTGGCACTAAAGATCTTCTATGAGGTTTAAATCAAGTCTGTCAGCTGGTCAGTCTAAGACGGAAACGGATTGAGAGTGAAGAAATTCCTTTACCAAGCGGGCTGTATGTTTTGGATCATTATCATGCTGAAATTTCCAAATAATTGGAAGAATGTCTTCAGCATAGGGTAATATTGTTTCTTCCAATATATATTTATACTAAACTTGATCCATGTCTCCTTCTATAAGCCTAATGGGCCCAATTCCATGACCAGAGGAGCAACCCCAAATTTTCAGCTTGCCACCACTATGTAGTAAACTTAGGGTCAAATGCCTTATTAGAGGGGAGCGACATACGTATCGCCTTCCCCCATTCTCCCTTGTAGATTGGTCGCAACTTTTATCTTTCCCCATTATTATTTTGAAAAATTACGTTTCAATTGTGTTTACAGTTCTAAATGGCGCCATTTTCACTTGAAAATAGTATAATCATAGTGTTCTTTGTTTGAATATGAAAAAAAGAAATAGTTTGTGTTCTTAATTATATGACCAGCCAGTAAGAAGTAATTCCTGGATTAGATTTTAAGTTTTCGCACTTTATATCTTTTTTTTTATTCGTGGTTTATATATCTAATTCATAGAAGCAAGTACCAACAATGTAGAAAGATTCGGAGAGTATAGTGAATCTCACACCGATATATGACAACAGAAACCAATAGTAAAAGTACAAGCTTCAGAAATTGTTAACATAACATTTGTTTTTACTAATATATACCTAAGTAGTTTTGATTGTCCATTTTTAATCTTAATAATGCGTGTTTGAAAATTTGATGATTTATTATTTATAGTTGGTGCCGATGGGTACCATTTTAACCTTTGTACGCTGACACAAATCACTCGTCTAGAATCTAACTAGTTATTGAATATGAGTACATTAGGCTAGGCTAAAGCCGTACCTATCTAACTGTACATGTATAGAAACTTCTTGAACTTACCAGTTAAAGTGCTCTCTATTTTTAAGGAGCGTATCGTCGCCTCTATTCTCCAAGGTGGTTCCATGGTGATAATACTTGGCACTAAAGCCCAAGTTAAATCTGAAGCCGGGCACGAGCCGCTGCAGCGCAGACTGTGATGCTAGTAAAGCTGCCACGTCTTCTTCGTGTAGTCTAGTTCCTAGACAAGTACAGATACGGTATTTCAAATATTTTCCTTTTTTTTTGTATAACGAGTCAACGGAGAGGCATCCTATACGTTCCTATGAAACGGTATGGTCAAGTGTGATGTAAGCACCAAAACGACGACCGGGGGTCTTTGTTCGAACTTAACAGATTTTGTCCACTATATGTTCGAATTTATAATATGTAACAATCATTTTAAGAGTTTTTTATATCTTACCTCTTTCACCAACGAATATATCATCTATATCGACTAGAATCCATCTGTCGAGACTGAGGCTGAGTTGCCCATGGCTGAGGTAGCTGAGCGCGTCGAGGAACAGCAGTCGATGCAACCAGAATTGTAGGCCGGAGCCAAAAAGTATGCGTTGTACGCCGTCCCAGCGCCCGTGGTCTTGGATCACAGTCGCTGACGGTGCGCGTTCTTCTGGACAAATAACACGTGGCATTATTGGTTTGTTTAATAAACTAGACATCCGTCGGCGGATTCGCTTGCCTGGTTTTTCCGATTTTGTAATATTTTTCTTTGTTGCTCCACTCCTATTAGTCAAAGCGTGATGTTATATAGCTTTCCTCAATAAATAGACTACTCTACACGAAAATATTTTTTTCCAAGGAGTAGTTCCTGATAGTAGCGAGTTTAACTAAACAAACAAACTTTATAATATTAGTATTAATATTGATGAATATTAGATAATATTATATACACAACTGAGATTCCAAACCAATTAAAACCATTGTAGTATGGAAACCTAAAACAACGAAGGTGCCAGATACTCTTTTGCGGGATGATACAGAAAAAAAAAACATTTTCTATATTAAACGGGATTCGAACTTGGAACCTATAAATCCTACATTTATAATATTATAGTTATTAGTGATCAGTGATTGGCATCAGCAATTTAATGATTCAGGATGAAGAGAACTAAGTGACAGTACTTAGTTCATTAGGCCTATCGATTGCGGTGATTAATAGTTTTCGTCATCTATCTATCTTCGATAAGTCGTCTTTATCAAAATTTTCTACCTCAAATGCAAAGTTATGTAGTATATGGAAAAAGATATGAGCTTTATTTTTCGCAATACATATAAAAACATCTGTTTCTTTTATGCGTTCAAGGAAACCATTATTTGGTTTCTCATTCTTTGATACCCGTAGAATTATCGACGATTTAATATATATCGTGGTATCGCTCATAGCAATTCGTATTCTATAAAAAACGCAAATGCCTATTACGAGTCTTGTGAAAGACAAGGGACGAAAGGTCGGGCAGAAACAGACGGACTGATATATAACAGCATATTTCTAGGGACTAGCTCCCTCTCGATTCTGGAGTACTCAAATGGGAGTGTAATTGTACATGAATAAATTTCATAGCCGAGCTAGAGAAATTACAAATAAATCAATGTGAAATACTTAAACTCATTTACCACTAACGGGAGGGAAAATCAACATGGAAAATCTATATTATATTTCCTTGTACAAGCATGAGCTTAGTTATAATTTTAAATAATTATTATTTATAATTTTAATAGTGTAAATTGCTAATGGTTTCATTCGTTTCATTAAAATAAGCAATTTTCGGATAAGACGCACTCATAACTAAAGAGATAATTTTCTAATTGGTATTATATCATCTTCTGTGTTACCCTATAATTGTTAACTTTGGTATACCATATATCGATTCGGTTGCGGAGCTATATCTCTGCGCTGTGATTTATAATATTAATTAACACTAGTGCCAACAACCATTAACCTCGACTATATCCATTAGTTAACATTCAAAATCATAACATTAAACAAAACTATAGACATTTCAGTTACATCTAACTATACGCGTCCTTGACGTTCAACAATTACATAAATGGATAGATTCCATCGGATCTATTATTTAGTTGTAATACAATGGATATTTCTGTAGGTAAATAATACGACGACGTTTAGACGTCAGAAGTATAAAGCAAACGATAAAATCTGTGATCATAATAGAGTTATTTCATTTCTCTAATGTTTTTCATGAGTTCAACCAGGCGTCATTTGTTTTAAATAAAAATCGACGACCAGAAAAGATACCTTGAAAAATACTATACATGTAAAAATCACCGCTCGACTTGAACAGGGGTTTCGAAAACATCAATATTGACTTAATTTAACGAAGGCTCTGGAAATTGCCATTTTGTTATTTGTTCCTTCGATTGTATTAGTACTTATGACATTTTTAAGCAATGCTTTGATTGTTTAGCTGCAAATCTATATTAATATTAACAAGAGGAAAGATTTGATTATATGTTTTCATCGAATAGGCTCCGAACTAATGAATCGATTTAAAAAAAATCTTTCACTTACAGGTAGCTACATTATACGGGGTTGACATAGGTTATTTATGCGTGTAAAGTCGCTGGATAACAGCTAGTATTTATATATAGAAATACCATGTGTTTTGTCTACTATGTTGTAAAATACTTTTTATAGTCAGTAGTGAAAATTTTTTCTTGGCACTCTGAGATGGCGCTTGATCCCATGACCTTTCGCAATCCGGGCGACAGCTCTAACCACTGAATTACTCAGGACCTAACAGGCCTGTCGAAATTTTCAAGCACTTCTTACTTTTTAACTACTACAGAGCATATTTTCATCAATGTTCAGACAATCCTCCCAAACAGTCGAAAGAAATAAATTAGAGGTTAATGTATACTCTAAATAAAATTAAACTAATGCAGATAAAAATCATACCGGTGGAGCCATATTCGTTCTGCTTGAGGGCCCACGCTATCGGTTCGTAGGTGGAACTGTTGGCCCGAAACACTGTCCAATGGTCGCCGGGTAAACCACCCCACGCGGTCTCCCCGGCACGCGCTAAGCGCAGAACCGGCGAAGCAGGATTTAGTGTTGCATCCTTGATAAAAATAAACAGAACTTTCTACATAGATATAACCACGTAATTATATTAAAATATTAGCGAGAACCGATTTTTAGGTGAAGGTGAGCACTAGTAATAATATGTCTCGAAGTAATAAATAAAAATAAATAAAATTAAATCATTCAATAGAAGTTAAAGCTTGACTGAAACAAGAGTTAAAATTATTGTACCATGGAAACTGAAAGATATTTTTTTTTTACATTTTGTTATACAATGTACAAAAAAGTTTAATATAAAAATAGTAGGTAATAATAAAAAATATATATGTTAATACTTCTGTTACGGACGGCGGACATGAAGACCCCTCCCCGCAACCTCACCCCCGCAACGAGTGGAGGGGGCACACCACGGGCAGCAGCGACGGGAGCACCCCCCCGCGACCTCCCCGCCGCATAGTGGAAGGGGCACCGACATAACATGAATCTATTAGGTCAATTAACGCGTTAGGATAGTAGCTAAGTGCGAACGAACAAATCCCACTTAAGTAAACCCGATTTGTATGAAAGCATGCCTACGAACGTTTTCGTACTTTGTACTGCAAATAAGAAGAAAGAATAAACGCCTTCAAATCTCCAAACTGTTGTTTCCATCCCCAACAGTTTTCGCTGGTCCTTCAAGAGCCGGATAAGGAGCTCGCTGATTCTTCAGAAGCCGGATAGGAAGATCGCCGAGCTACAGTTTGCTCGTCCGAAGCCGGAAAGAAGAAAGCGTGTTCTACGAGCGTCGAAGCACTGCAAGATCGGTACAGTGTACGTCGGTACAGAGTACGTCAGGTACAGAGTACGTCCGGTACAGAGTACGTCGGTACAGAGTACGTCAGGTAGAGAGTACGTCAGGTAGAGAGTACGTCAGGTAGAGAGTACGTCAGGTACAGAGTACGTCGGGTACAGAGCACGTCAGGTACAGAGCACGTCAGGTACAGAGCACGTCAGGTACAGAGCACGTCAGGTACAGAGTACGTCGGGACAGAGCTACGTCTCAAGATACAGCAAGATGCCGCGAACAAGAAGCACCACTAAGGACGACCGCGCCACCGACGCGTTACTGGAGCAAGCGCGCCGTGGATTATATGAGCTGCCACCCGCTTCACCCTCTGTGGTCGATGGAACAACGACCGCTGAACGCGAGAGGGGTCCTATTCCCGTCGGAACCAGGGAAGAAAAGGACTTTGAACAAGGGGCCACGGCACCAATCACAGAGAAGCAGCGTACTCCTACGCGTCCGGCATCGGTTCGATCTTCGGCTAGCACTGCGGCACGAATTTTGAAAGCCGAATACGAAGCCGAAAAACGGCTGTCGGAAATGAAGATCCGTATGGAGACGGAACTTATGAAGAAGAAGCTGGCATGGGAAAAAGCGGTTATACAAGAGTCGGACAACGAGAGTATCGCCGACGATACGAACGTCGAGGAACGCATCGACACATGGCTAAACCAAAGCTCTTCCATCGCGCAACACACGGAGCAAGATTCAGCGCCACAACTGGAACGAGAAGCAACGAGAACAACGCCACACCGCGTATCACGACGCGCTCCCTACATCAATGCAGGGGGGGAGCCCGAAGCGCACGCTGCAGAACCACAGCCACAACGACGACGATCACCGTCAAGACAGCAACGGGGCATGGAAAAGCTGGCAGACGTGCTAGAGAAAATGATGCACGTCAGATCGCCGCCGAGACAAGCAACCGAACTACCCCTATTCAGCGGATCACCGATGGAGTGGCTACCGTTCAAGGCCGCTTTGAACGAATCCACGCAGCTGTACAAATTTACGCCGATGGAAAACCTGGCGCGACTTCGAAACTGCCTGAGGGGGGAAGCTAGAGAAACAGTATCGGCGCTGCTAGCAACCACTACGGACCCGGCTGAGATCGTACAAGTTTTAGAGCAGTGTTATGGACGACCAGAAAGCATCATCTGCCACGTGCTCGAGCAGATAAGAAGATTACCTAAGCTCGGAACCACCGCCGCCGAATGGAACGCGTTAGCGGTTAAAGTTCAAAACATCGTCTGCGTTATGAAGCAAATTGACAAGAAAGGATACCTCTCAAACCCAATGCTGGTGCAAGAAATAGTAGCGAAGCTCAACCCATGCGTCACTTCAAAATGGTGGGACTACGCAGAGGACCACGGATCGGATCAAGAACCAGAGATCGTAACGTTATCGAAGTTTCTCACGCGCGAAGCAAATAGAGCATTCCGACATGCACACATGTCAACGCCCAGCACGATTACGAAAAAAGAAGATAAGAAACCTTTCAACACGGGAGCAACGCGACGAGCGGCAACGCACAACATCACACAAGCAACCGAGCGTCGCTACTGCTGCTGTTGCCGGGGCGATCATGAGCTACCCAAGTGCCCGCAGTTCATCAAGATGAACACGGACGACCGATGGGCGCTTGTCAAAAAGGAGAAAATATGCTTCAAGTGCATAGCCGCGCGCCACCGACGAACATCGTGCAGAGCAAAGCTGTGCGGCCAGAACGAGTGTCGCCGACCCCATCATAGACTGCTGCACGCGGAGGCCGCACCTGCACCCGCATCGACGTCCGCCGACACCACCGAGGAGTGTCACGAAAAGAAGACTGACGTCGAGACCGTCGCCACCACAGTCGGCTCCGAGAAAAAGAAAGAAGTCCTACTGAAGGTGTGCCCGGTCGTCATCAAGGGACCAGCCGGCGAAGTACGAACCTACGCGTTACTGGACGAAGGCTCGACGGTTTCGCTAATAGACAGAAGATTAGCGGAGGAACTTCGCGCCGACGGCCCCACGCAGACCATCCACCTGCACAGCATACAGAACGTCATAAGGGATGAAGAAAGCAAACGAGTGAAACTTCAAATACGGGGCACTAACACGAACTTCTTCGACTTAGAAGCCAGAACGATCGACCGAATCGGTATAAGAGGACAATCGATTCCAGAGGCCGTCTTGAAGCACCCGCATCTACGTAAGCTGAGCGCCGAAGAGGTGTGCTACGATCGAGCACGACCACGAATCCTCATCGGCGCGGACCACTGGCACCTCGTGATTTCCCGGGAGCTACGCGCCGGACGAAGATCGCAGCCCGTCGCGTCAAGAACAAGCCTAGGTTGGGTGATACTGGGAAACCTGCCTCGAGCCACGACCAAGGAAAATCACAAGATAGTGTCACATCTGAGAATCACAGAAGATGCGCCGCTTCGCCCGTGCACTAACGACGTCGACGAAGAACGCCTCGACGAAATTATAAGAAGTCACTATGACATCGACGCGCTTGGAGTATCGACGAAAAATCGAACAAAGCCCGACGACGAACGCGCCGCGGCTATAGTAACGAAGACAATGCGCCGCACGAATAAAAGATACGAGGTGGGGTTACCATGGCGTACGGACGACGTGACGATGCCGCCCAGCTATGACAACGCTCTGAAACGACTGAAAGGCATAGAGAGAAAAATGGATCGCGACCCGTCCTTCGCCGCGGCTTACAGAGCGCAAGTCGAAAACCTCTTCGAAAAAGGATACGCGGAGCAATGCGACGGCACCGAACAAGCGAGCCCGAAGAGCTGGTACCTACCGCATTTTGCGGTGAAGAATCCCAACAAGCCTGGCAAGCTACGCCTCGTCTTCGACGCAGCCGCCGTTACGAACGATGCCAGCCTTAATCAAGAACTACTAGAGGGTCCAGACCTATTAACGTCGCTGCAAGGAATACTCTTCCGATTCCGAGAAAAACCGATCGCCGTAACCGCCGACATTCAAGAGATGTTCTTGCAGATTAAAATCAGAAAAGAGGATCAGCCCGCTCAAATGTTTCTGTGGCGAGGAACGGAACGAACAAAACCGCCCCAGAAATACAAGATGACGTCATTGATTTTCGGCGCGGCAAGCTCGCCTTTCATCGCACATAGCGTAAGAAACGCTAACGCCGAAGCCTACGCCGACTCGCATCCGGAAGCACTACAACCAATAACACGTAGTCACTACATGGACGATTACGTGGACAGCTACGACACCGAAGAAGAGGCCACCAGAATTGTAAACGGCGTGGCGCACGTCCATCGGCAAGCGGGATTCGTGCTGCGAAGTTGGAACTCAAACAGCGCAGCCGTCTTAGCAACCATACCCACCGAACTACACGCCCAGTCACCGACCCGACTCGGCGCGAACGTCAATCACTTCGAGAAGACACTGGGACTCCTATGGAACGCCGCCGAAGACAATTTGACATTTAACACCACCATGGCACGGGTACCCGTGGAGGTGAAGGAAGAAAGAAGATCGCCGACGAAAAGAGAGGCTCTGTCGGCTGTCATGTCCGTGTACGATCCACTCGGACTAGTGAGCCCATATACAATCGCCGCGAAAATATTCCTCCAAGATCTATGGCGAAGGAAAATTGGGTGGGATGAGCCGCTACCACAAGAAGACGCCGATAAATTCCACACATGGCTACGGGGCTTACATCGCATGGGAGAGATAGCAATCACACGCTGCTATACAACGGCAACGAAATGTCGACGACGGGAGCTACACGTAGCATTAGTGAGCGGAAGAGCAAAGGTAGCGCCTCTCAAAGCGCAGAGTATTCCGCGATTAGAACTACAAGCAGCGGTTATCGGGACAAGATTGGCGGACACGATAAAAACCGAACACCGATGGGCAATCGACGAAACGGTGTTTTGGACGGATTCAACAACTGTACTCGCGTGGATCAACAACGACGCACGCCGCTACACCGCCTTCGTGTCACACCGACTGGGTGAAATCGCCGAACGAACGGAGCCGAATCAATGGCGATGGATATCCACCGAATTAAACGTGGCCGACGACGCAACTCGAACAAAATACGCTGACGTCGTCCCCGCGAGATGGCTATCCGGACCGGAGTTCCTGCTGCGCGACAGGGAGGAATGGCCTACACGAAGCAACGAAGAGGGACCCATCTCCGAAGAAATAGTGGCCCACACGACCGTCTCTTCTACGAACGAAAATGAAGCGATGCCGAATATAGAACGAATCGGCAAATACGAATGCCTCATCCGCGCCACGGCCTTAGTACTATTGGCTATCGAAAAATGGCATCAAAAGGGCAGCCAGTTGGAACTACGCCACATGACACGAGCTGAAGATATGTGGCTACGACGGGCGCAACGAGAGTCCTTCGGCGACGAAATACGACTGCTTCAACAAGGAAAGAAGATACCACAGTCAAGCCGCCTATACAAGTTAGACCCCGAGCTGATGAACGGAGTACTGCGCGCACGAGGAAGAATAAACGCCGCGACAGTACCAGAAGAAATGAAGAAGCCGATCATATTGGACGGAAAGCACCCGTTCACTCGGAAGATCATCGTGAGAGAACACGAAGCGGCGGGTCACGCAAACAGAGAGCGTGTCATCAACGAATTACGACAACGCTACTGGATATTGCGCCTACGTCCGTCGGTTCGCACCGCCACCCGCGCATGCGTGATGTGCAGAGTTAGAAGATCGAAGCCAACAACGCCATCTACAGGGGACTTACCGCGCGAACGACTCAGCCCGCACCTCAGGCCCTTCACGTGCTGTGGCCTCGATTACTACGGGCCAATGACCGTCACCGTAGGACGACGCCACGAGAAGCGCTGGGGCGCATTGTTTACTTGCCTAACCACCCGAGCGATACATCTAGAAGTTGTGGCAAGCCTCAGCACAGACTCGGCGATAATGGCGATAAGAAGAATGGCAGCGCGGCGTGGATGGCCGAAAACTATAATGAGCGATAACGCAACGAACTTCAAAGGCGCCGACAAGGAACTACAAGCGGCCATACGAGAATGGGCCCCCAGACTACAAGATTACCTGCTGCAACGGCGCGTCGAATGGAAGTTCATTCCCCCTGGCGCACCCAACCAGGGGGGAGCATGGGAGCGACTAGTGCGGTCCGTCAAGACAGCTCTAGCCACAACGCTGCACGAGAGGGCACCGAAAGAAGAGGTGCTCCATACGCTGATGACCGAAGCCGAACACGCGGTGAACTCACGACCGTTGACCCACGTATCGGTCAGCCCGGCCGACGCCGAAGCCCTCACACCGAATCACTTCCTCCTAGGAACATCATCAGGTCTACCACTCACCGGCCCCTGTCGACCCTGCGACAGGCGCCAATGGCGGGCCACCCAAGCGCTCGCCGACAGTTTCTGGCAGCGCTGGATGAAGGAATATCTTCCGACGCTGGTACCGAGGGGCGAAACAAGAAAAGAAGCCGCACTTCGAGTAGGCGATCTCGTCATCATCGCCGACCCGAACTCACCGCGCAACATCTGGCCCCGGGGAGTAATCGAACGCATCTTCCCCGGGCCCGACGGCGAGATCCGAAGCGCCGACGTACGCACCAGAGGTGGGCTGTTTCGGCGACCAACGAGGAAGCTCATCGTGCTGACCACCGAGACACTGGACACATTATCCGCACCTCCCCCGGACCAGCGGGGAGGGACGCGCTGCGATCCTGAGCCTGGCGAGCCGTCCGATCCGGCGAAAGGGGCTCCGAGCATCTCTTCGAGCGTCTCTTCGCCGGGGGGAGAACTGTTACGGACGGCGGACATGAAGACCCCTCCCCGCAACCTCACCCCCGCAACGAGTGGAGGGGGCACACCACGGGCAGCAGCGACGGGAGCACCCCCCCGCGACCTCCCCGCCGCATAGTGGAAGGGGCACCGACATAACATGAATCTATTAGGTCAATTAACGCGTTAGGATAGTAGCTAAGTGCGAACGAACAAATCCCACTTAAGTAAACCCGATTTGTATGAAAGCATGCCTACGAACGTTTTCGTACTTTGTACTGCAAATAAGAAGAAAGAATAAACGCCTTCAAATCTCCAAACTGTTGTTTCCATCCCCAACAACTTCATTTTGTTCTTTAGAAGAAAATAGGCGAGCGCGTGCCAACGCCGATAATGGGCACTTAGTAAAACTAACAGGCAAATATTCCGTATCATTAAGTTTTCTTAAGTGTGACTGCGATCATTATCCACAATTAGGTAGCTTTTTGAAAGAAAGGGGAAAAAATAAAGAAAATACTTATGTAAAAATCAAAGCAAAATCATGGCAAATAATTTTTCCATAATGCTTATTTAAGAAAGATATTACGTTAATTTAAAATTGAACATTTAATTTAAAAAAAAAACATGTATTTTTGGTAATACAATGGAAACGGAACTACAGGTGAAAAATAAAAAAATATTTCAGTGACTTTTTTATATAAAGGTGCGATTGTCTGAGAAATAATTCAATTATTACGACAGTAATTTTTAAACTCACCTTCAATCGGAGGTTTGTGTGCATAAAGAGCGGGAATCCTTTTAACTGTGCGCCGACCAAAGTTTCTTCCCCGGGTGTGGCAAAGGCGACCACGCCCACGGAATACTCCCGGCAGTATTTATCCAACAGTTCACGGTTCCATTTGTCCATGTTCGCGTACTTGGAGAGGGATTCGAAAACAATCACGCCGTAGCGTCCTTTATCCAATGTGGTGAGCACAGGTAAACTCTTACCGGCGACCTCCACTTTATACCTGATTGAAAGAAACGTGAAATATAAGTGATACTTCAAAATGCCGTCTCAGGTGCTTGAGACGTGATAAGAACTCGTAACCTTTGGCTTATTGGGCGACTGTTACTAATTGAGCTGCCAGCGATCATACATAACAAGACTGGCGATTTTTAAGTACTTCGCACTAGAGAGTTTTTCATTAATGTTGTTTGTAGTTTACTTAAACAGCCGATAGAAATTTTTCAAATTTCGATAAAATGAAAATGTTTTCTCATTTAGACCAATTTTCTTTAATACTGATTTCTTAGATTGTCACGCGCTCTACTCATTAAATAAAACTACTTTAAACTTGCTTGCTTTCATGACGTTTCGGACCCTTTACAGGTTCCGTGTTCACTTAAGACTAAGATTTAATAAATGTGAACGTTTCCATAATTTTTTATTTTGTGTTTATGTCCAATAGTTTTGAAGGTAGCTCTATTTTTAATTAAAAACGACAATCTACACCTTAGTATTAAGTGAACGAGGAACTTGTAAAGGGTCCGTAACGCCATGAAAGCAAATATAAAAGCGCTGAAACGGTTTTTATGTATTTAATATTTTTTTTTAAGGCATTAGAAACGCAAAATTTATCAAATAAGTATGACAAGATAAATATTACTCATTTTTACACAGCTACAACGCCAGAGCGTTGGTTTGACAAAGTGCATAATCTCAGGAGTCCATTACATTACAGATGTGAAATGAGACAGGCTTAAAAAATTATTATGCATAAGTATTACAACAAGAAGCTTCATTCATTTAATTTACAGCACTTTATAAAGATACATCAATAAAATTGAATGTCAGCTATGTTGTAATAGACTCGGTGAATTGAATTCGCTATATTATATTTCTGTATAGTCACAGCGGTTGTCCAGTTTCGAATTGTTGGACGTCAACTTGGTCTATAACGAAATGGCGTTCATTCATAGCTACGATGTTATTGACATACCGTTAGTTAAGGTTTATTAGAAATAGCAAAATCATTTCCCCAAGTAAAACCTTAAATATTAACTAGACGTTATGTCAATATAACGGTGTATTATAAAGTGAAATTCTGTATAAACATAAACCGAGAAATCATAACTGAGTCAATCATAAATTGAATTTGTGTTTATAGAGAAGTTGAGCAGGTATTTATTGCTCTTGTAGCGTGTGTGCTTCCGCATATTTTACTACTCGTTATAAATAGAACGAAGTAGGACAGTCGTCATGGGAAGATATTATATGTATCATATCAGGCGTTCTTATCTCTGTGAATATACACGATGTGAATGGTGACTATGATAATAAATATTGTCGTAAACGGTTTCTTTTCAGTACGCAAATATATCGTCAGCATATGCTACTAATAGGTACAGTATCTTAGATTTAGTAGATGCAATCATAATAGACAAAATATAAACTGACGGACGATGTTTATAAATTAATTTTAACATGTTATTTTTATTTTATTTATTTTATTTCATTTCTTCCACAAAATACACAAAATTAGTATACGTTCACAGATTTTTTCTAATTTGTTTAAACAATATGTTTGTGGGAGACTGCGTTTGAGTTACTCGTCGAGACAAAATGAAAGAGGTTCTCGTTTTTCAGCTGACTCACATCTCACTCAGCAGATTAGTGAGTTGCTTCGAATCGATACAGTCGATATTAACGATAGATCGAAGAAATGGGTCGGATTTATGAGATTGATAGAACGACTCAATTTAGTTTATACCGTTGGTTGCATTTGCAGTCAGTTATACTCTCCAATCCGCATTGGGCCAGCGTGGACGCCCTTGCAGTGGGGACGTAAAAGGGCTGATGATGGTGGTGATGATGAAGTAATTGTTATAGTTTTCAATATTCGATCAATTATTAATCACAAATATTTCACTCGGGTCAGCCGGGGAGTAAGAGTGCGCGCAAAGTAACGACCGACTCCTTCCTTAATTTGCCTTACGCCTCGCTACATACTGATTCCTTTAACTCACCTCAAATGAGCGGTACCTTGCGAGTACCTTAAGAGGTAAAACGAGGTCCTCACTCATCCTCAATAAAAACGTGAGTTACACAACACTAGTTTCAGGTTTCGGCAGAAATCGACAATTCCCTACAATAGCTCAAATCATCCCTGGAAAATCAACCCTCTTAAATATAGCATTAGCATTTACATTTTACTAAAGTTGATCTCGATATTATCCGGTGAGAATTTTGGAATTAGTATTCTATGAAAACGCATAATAATAATATTGTGAATGACATCTTTTAGAATATTTTCGGTCAAAAATTCAATTCGGAATTTTGTAAAGAGTGAAACAAGATCCACTGCATTTATCTGCTTAGATCTTCATTATTCATTGAATGTTTCCAGGACTTTCAAAAGTTATAAAGGAAGGTCACAACTTAAAGCAATAACCTCAACCAAATAGTAATCAAGGCAATGATGGTCGACCCCTGTCATAAAACTGAACAATTTAAATAGAATCTGCGGCCTGTTCCCTTTCCAAACAGAACAAGAGGCCGGAGTTGATTGGCAATATTGAAAATTAAACTGTCTTTACATTTTCCCTTTCATGATACTTTCTAATTTCGGATCCGTTTACTGATATTGTCAGGTTACAAAAGATCATCGGTCTGATGAACTGAAGGTGTGTTAGACCTCTATACACAAAGGAATACATATGAGAAAAAATATTTTCTTTGGAAAACGAAGAAGACGCAACTAATGGCATATAGAGTTGAATATTTCATATGTGTTGAACTGAATGAGAGGTGGAACTCGACAGGTAGTAAGCTATACGAGGAAGTTTCATTTTGCTCCAATTGGGCATTCAATTTGGAAGTAGAACACTATATACCTAGAGTGGAGCGAACGTGGAAACAGCATTTACCTACGGCCGGCTCGTTCGTATCTCACCTAATATATGGCGCACTCGTTGGCAGCTTGGTATCGCAATTGGCGAACACTGATAACGTTTCCCAGCTCAGCTATACTGTAGAATATGAACGTGATACTTGTTTTGTTTATATTGCCGCCCATAAAGTGAGGATGTAAGCAGCGGTGACTATGTAGCTTGCGCTAACATGTTTCTAATTACCTCAATTAGTGTCCTGCCATTACACGTTACAGAGCTCGTTTAAAATTAAAGCACTCGGAATGGCCTACTTTAACCGTGAACCGAATGCGAGAAGGGCTAATTCGTGATAAGGGAGCGCGAGTTCAATAAAGAGAGGCAACGTCGCAGCCAGCCTTTTAGATAACGTTTCTCAGAGATACATACTTAGCTGAATACCTCAGTTCGGGGAATTTTTTATACAGATTTTACATGTATTTGTAAGGTTTGTTGAATCAAATCTAAAATCTACGGCTGGAGAATACGATCCAGCTTTTATCTAATCCCGGATTTCGGGATTGTCTACAGATAATCTCTGGTTCCCGGTACAGCCCTGACTTTGAGTTGAAAACAAAAAATCAATAATTAATATTTATTGGAGTAAAAAATGTATAAATAATAGTTATATCTGACTGAATAGTACGAAAACTGTCTACTAAGGCAGGCAGTCAATTACTATACACAAAATCAAAACAAAATAAATTTATTATCACCCGTTGTTTGTTTCAAAATGATCACAAAATAATAATATATTTTATAGACGGAATACTACCTTGCGAATTCCAATCGATCCATTATAACAATATATTGGAGAAACTAGTGAGTTACGCGAGTAATGTATGGCAATGCTCACGATACGATGATAATCTAAAAGATATTTAATCAAATCAGTAATATTACAATATTTCGCAATAATCTTTTTCCTTCTCGAAGAAAATAGAGTAGAGCCTCTATACAATGATAATTAGATTTCACGAGAAGATTCATTAAATCAATGATCTAATTTACATATCGGCACAGAATTGAAAATGGAATGACAAAAGCAAAACGCTTAATGTCAAAGAAGGAGAAAATTGAAAGGTCCATTTTGTGAATTTATATTGCTTTCTAATTTGACTAGGCCCTAAAAAGGTAGGATATAGAGCAGGGGGATGAGTGTACACAGTGCCTATCGACCGTAACGAACAGCATTGACGTCGGATGAAGGGTCTATCAGGGGCACCCCGGGGGCATTGGGTTACGGAATATCCATTAGAGCTCTATTAAAAAAGCGATTTGCTCTCTTGTGCCACTATAGCAGAGTTTTACGACGGGCCAAGCGCAATAAACGGCGCCGCTTTTACATCACAAAGGGTCAAGTGGACGTAACAATCAAACTCAAAACAAACTGGAACACGTATGAGGAAGCGTCGTTGTTGGCGCGATGTTTTCCCAGTCGCGCGAGTTTGTAACGAGTTCGACGCGACATTTTAGGTTGGACGTGTTTTATGACGTTATGTCGTGGCAAACATTTACTTGCGGAAATGTACGCTATTATGAAATACCTTTTAGTGTACCTTGTTTGTTGTGGAACAACTATATACGTAGAAACTTGGTCAAATTATCTGATGGAAATGTAGCTAGTAGTAACCTAAATATTTTTTTATATTCATAAAATTATTTTTGTATTGGTATTTGGTACATAACATAATTTGCACATAGGTATTCATCAATAACACTCGATTCGTTGTATTCGTAGCTTTTTATTATCCGCAGAGCTGTCAATATGTCAACATTATTATAAATATCTAACTACATTTTTTAGAACCCGGAACCTCAAAGATCATCTTGAAAGTGGCGTGCGAGCTACTCACCCACGAAGTTAAGAAAAATATTTAAAAATGGTTTTATCTCAAAACGGTGAAAAAATTTGAAATACAATTATGTTATTGCTCTATTGAATGTGCGATATATCCATTGGATGAAATCACTTTTTTTAATGAAACTAAGTAAGTGAAATGACAATTACTCAAAGAGTTCTCTTGGATCAATTAACGTTAGATAAGTCGGTAGTCAAAAATGGTAAACAAAAAAGTCCTATTATAAAACGAAATTGACA